ATTTTATTTTTTTTTTTTTTTTTTTGTATCTTTATATATTTAACGTTGTTTTTGAACATATCTGAATAAAAATTTTTTTCCCCTTTTTTTTTTTTTTTTTAAAACATATTTTTAACTTAGTTTTTTATTTTTCATTCATTTCTATTTTTAATTTCATTAATAATTTTTTATATATTAAAAATTAATTTTGTGACATTTATTTTCAAAAGTTTTATTAAAGATATAAAAATGGTTCAAAACTTAAAAGTTAAAGTGAAGAAAAGTAAAATTACTGAAAGGAAGAATAAATCGAAAAAGTCAAAAAAAAATAAAGAAAAAATAGTAGTGAAAAGTTTAAGAAAAGTAATACAACTTCATATTTAATCTATATTTTTTAATTACATATTTTTTCCTTTTTTTTTTTTTTTTTTTTTAAAGAATAATTTTTCTTATTTTTAATATACTTTCTTATATAAGAACAAATATATATATATATGTATATATATATATATACATATATATGTATTTTTTTTTTTTTTTTTTTTTTTTTATAGAAAAGCAAATTAGTTAAAATTAATAAAATTGAAGAAATGGCAAAAAAATTGTGTTCTTCTGCTAATAATACTCTAAAATTCATAAATGGAAAATCTGATAAATAATGTATCATAATGGTGATAAACACATATATATAATTTATATACATAAATCTAAATATGTGAAAGATTTTTTTTTTTTTTTTATCTTAATTTTTTATGTTTTTTTTTTTTTTTTTTTTTTTTATTTCCTTTTTTTTTTGATTTTCTATTGTTATCATGAATTCCATGTAAAACATTAGTAACTTCATCATAATCACTTGAACTCTCTTTTTGATAAGGTTGTTCATTTTCTGTTATATTTTTATCTTCTATATCTTTTTCTGAAAATTCTAGAAAGTTAATATTAATATTTTTATTAAGTATGCCACTTTGTTCTGTGTGTAATTGAATTAAATCTACATAAATAAAATTCTGCAAATCACTAGTAATTTCATTTTTAACATGTGTTTCAGGGATTAAATCATCTAAAGAATCTTTATAATCTAAGCACAAATAAATAACTAAATTATTTATATATTTAAAAAAAAACGATTTGGATTTCAGCATAATTGCACGTAAAGATAATAATATAGGAAGTGTATTTTTTTTTAAAATATTTTTCATAAGATCATGCAACACTTTTACGCTATTTTCTACATTTTTTATTTTGAGATTTCTATTTTTTTCTTCTAATTTAGCAAAATCTTTTTTAATTTTTATTTTCATTAATTTTGAGCATAACATATTTAACACATCTTGCAATACAGAACCTTCATTATCTTCATCATTTAGTGGAAGAATGCTTTTCAAATTTTTTTTTTCATTTAAGTTATCATCAGAAAAATAATAATTATCATAATTATATACATACTGGATTAAATACTCATTAATTAATTTTTGCTGTAACGAAAATTTCTCACTATTAGTTAAATTTTCTAATAAAAAACAATAAATAGTATATCTATCTTCTTTATTTTTTATTTCAAAACTATTTCCTATATTACTTAAATGTTTGCTTAACTTGAAATTATAAAAATTATTTAAAACAAAAATAAATTCTATTATATAGTTTATTAAGTTAGTCTTATTATATATTAAAAGAATATGTTTAAAAACTGATAATGATTGTTTTCTTATTAGTTCATTTTTATCAGCTAATAAATATAAAAAGGCAAAGAAAAATTGATTATTAAATTTTATATAGTCTTCTGATATTAATTTAGATATAATATAAAAGGATAAATATCTAATAAAAGAGTTTTCATGCTTAAAAAAACGTAAAAGAATGAAAACAAATTTATTACATGAACTTCCAAAATTAATAACCATGTAATAAATTAATATAATTAGATTATTAAGTACGTTCATGGAAGTATTTATGTTTTTTAAATCTTTTTCTAAATTTGAAAATAAATCATTTTTAATATTAATACCTTTGTCAATTAGTAAAACACTCTGTGTTAAGTATATGCAATTTTTTATCATAATATTATTAATATCATTATTTCTTGTATTATCATAGATTTTTTTTAATTTTTCACATACAGAACTTAAAAAGGAATCACATTTTCTAAAATGATTTATTAAAAATACAAATGTAATTAAAATGTTACAAAAGACATTATTGTAAGGGATAGATTCTATATTTTCAAAAAAATATATTATTTTATTTTTTAATTTTTCTATAAAATTATTTATATTTTTTTTTTTTTTAATTAATATATTTAAGATAATATAAATAAAACATAAAGGACATTTGAAATGAAAAATTATATACTCCAATTTCTGTAAAAATTCTTCATTCAGTTCGTTAATATTATCTAATAAATTGTAAATTATTGTAAATAATTTTAACATAATATTTTTTAAAATTCCATCAGAACAAATATTTCTCTCATCTATTAAATCATCTTTATTTAAAATATAATCATTTAATAATTCATCCTTAAAATTATAGTTTAATAACATATTGCTACTCAATTCTATTTTTTGTAATTGCTCTTTCTTTTTATTTGTATTACCATTTTTTGTATTATTCTCTCCTTCATTATTATTTTCAAAATTACTTGTATTTTTTATGTTATCTTGTAGATCTACATTCATAAGATAAATTTTATAGCATCTATTTAAAAGAAATAAAATATTTTCAATATTTATTTTATTTTGATAATGCCTTGATAGTTCAATTATAAAATCAAGTATAAATGTATTCCACATTCTAATTGAAAAATATCTTAGATTATAAATAAAAGAATTCAAAAGATTGATAAATTCTTCAAGGGTATTATTTTTTTTTTTTTTTAAGCAAAATATAAGAAGATTAAAATTTAATAAATCATATTTTGTCATAACTTTCAAAAGAGTGAGAAAATAATTATTTATATTTTTCTCAAAGTATAATTCCCATGTACTTATTAAATGTAAAATACCATCATTGTTTCTATCATATTCTTCTTTATTATTTTTTATATTTTTATTTTTTTCTTTTACTGATGACTTTCTCATAATATTAATACTATTACTATTATTGATATGATTGCACATTAACTGATTTGAAGTTAAATTCTTTTCATTATTATAATTTATTTCCACATTTTTTATATTATTAGAAACTTCAGTTACTTCAACTAGAAATTTATTATCAGCAAATTCATTTGTATTATTTAAAGAATTTTCTTCTTTCTTATATAAATGATGACTTACCTTAAAATATCTTAAATTATTTTTTTTTAAAACTTCTATAATTTTTTTTTCTTTTACATTAAAAATAGAGCAATTAAAAGATGGCTTAATAAATGTATTTAAAAATATGCAAATAGCTTCTTCTTTTACAGTTTCTTCTATGTCAGTTATAGCAGAAAAAATAATAGTTAACCATATTTTAGTTATATAAATATTTGAACTTGCATTTATAAATAAATTATTAACAGTTAATAAAACTTGCCTACGTACAGAAGACATAGCATCTAATGACAATGAATAAATATAATTAGAAATGAAAATTAAAAAAATTTTATAATTTAAATTTTTATTTATTAATGTTTCAAATATAGCTTCTATATATTGTATAGTTAATTTTCTTATATTACTCCTATTACTATATACATTTGATGATATTATTTTGTACATATTTATTTTTTCCTTTGTTTTATTAAATATAAAATTATAAATTAATGAATTATCATGATATTTTCTATTAGTTAAAATTACTAAAATAGATAAGGCTTTCGCTTTAACAATCATATTGGGATCCTCTAACCTTTCTAAAAATAACTTAAATAAATTATGAAAAATTGATTCATTTTTATTTGTTTTTTTCTTTTTAATTAAAGCCAAGAATAGATCAAGTATAATATTTCTTATTTGATATTTTTCACAACTCATATATTTTAATAAAATATTTAAATATCTAATCATGACTGATTCATAAATAATTAAATATTTTTTGTTATCAATAATTAAATTGCACTTTCTTTTATGTTCTATCTTATTAACAAATTTTGTTTTCTTTATTTTTTTCCATATTTTCTTGTTTTCTTCTGTATCTCCTTTCTCCTTTTCTTTATTCTCATACCTGTTCTGTTGAACAAAATTTTGATTTTCCTTTACTTTTTTTTTTAATTCATTTGTGTCTATTTCTTTTTCTTCTTCATTTTCTACTTTCTCTTCTTCTTCATTACATTCTATTTCTTCATCGGCATCATCGCTGTCTATTTCTTCTTCTGTTTCAGAATAAACTGAAGAGCTATATTCGTCAGATAAATTAAACGATAAACTTGAGTCAATTCTTTTCTTACTAATTTTTCTTACTTTTAAATAATTTTTATCTAAAAATTTCTCTTCTTTTTTCTTATTATCATCCCCTTTAATAAATAAAATAAATTCATCACATATAATTTCCATTATATTATGTTTTTTTTCTATTTTTCTGCACTCATTGATTAATATTTTAATTAAATCTATGAACATATTTTTTTCATATTTATCACAATGATTGATTATAAATATTTCTATAAAGGAAAATATAGGATCACCTAATAAAAACAAAATTAAAAAAAAAAAAAAAAAAAAAAAGAAAAAGAAATAATATTATTAAATAATAATAATTCAGAATTGATATTTATTAATATAATAAATATAATACATAATTTAATTAAAATTATTTTATTCTATTGTCTTTTATATTTTCTTTTTTTTTTCTAATAATAATAATAATAATATTACATGCATTTAAAACAATCTGATCTTCAAAACTAATTTCTTCTTTATTTTTTTTTTCCTTATTGTTTTTCTTTTCATTAATTAATAAATAGTTATGTTTTAGTTTATCATTTAATAAAACCTGAGGTATAATAATTCTAATACAATTATTTAAAATATTCTTAAAGAATAAAATAACTAAATTATTAATATTATTTATTTCTTCAATTGAATATAAATTTTCTTCGTTTTTTGTATCTTTCAAAATTGATAAAATTTTAGCAAAAATTAAATTTACAATTTTAACAAAAATATTTACTTCTGGACCTATTTCATATAATTCTACATTTATATTATATGTAAATCGGAAATCATAACATTTCTTAACAATTTTTATTAAATAATTGATACATAATATATGAATTGAATGAATTAAAGGTTTTTTAATTAAATCAATAAAAAATTTAATTAATTCAAAAATACAATTTTTATCATTGATATTAACAAAATTGCTTATATCTATGTATTCTAAGCTATTATATAATGCGGCAAATATATTTTTTAAAATGTCTAATTCTTCCTCTTCAAAAAAAAAAAAAAAAAAAAAGTAATTTATGTTAAAAATTTTATAAATGTATATATTCGTATATCTATACATGTAAAACTATAATTTTTTTAAGTATAATTTCTTATCTTAAAATTTGTTATATATTTATACCATTTAATTCACATTCATTATCAGTTTTTTTTAATTTATTCAATTTGTTATCATTAAAATAAAAAGAACAAAATAGAAATCTCTTAAGAATTCCTTTTAGTATAAAAAGACGGAATTTCAAACCTTTTTTTTCATTTTGAAACCACTATAAATATTATAAAAATTGTTAAAAAAAATAATACATATATATACATAATTTATTATGCTTTTATTTTACTTGTAATATATTAAGGTAAATTAAGCAAGAATAATTTGAATAATCATCATTTTTGTATATTAAATATGTTAGAAGAATATTTAAACTAAACAAATAGGACATATTTATATTTTCAGTATATTCTTTATTTTTATTTTCGTTTCTATCTTTAATTAACCATTCGATGATCCTTTTGCTTAACTTCAAAAAAATTTTTTTTTGGATATATTAAATGTTAAAACTTATAAAATTTTACTTAAAATATTTATAAATATTATATGAAATATATATAAGAGTGCTAATACGATCTATTTTCTCTTTTTTTACATTACTAAAATTTTTTTTTATACTTTTTAGTATATATATATATATATATATATATATATATATTTGCATATATTTACATAACATTAAAAATATACTTTTGAAGTTTTTTTATTTCTGAGAATATTAAACTAATAATCTATTAATAATATGAACTTTTTCTTTAAATTTTAGCAAATTTATACATTAAATATTTAGACATTTTTTTTCTATATATATATATATATATATTTTTTTTTTTTTTAACTGTTTCATTATATATTGGATAAAATGATAAATTGTGTAATTCCTTCAATACATCAATATTAGATGGATTGATTATGGTATCTAATTCAGGCAATAGAAAATCAATTTTGTTTTTTTCATAAAAAACAAAGGAATCATAATGTACCATTTGAATATATGACACATTTAATGAAATAATGCTTGATTTTAGTTTCCTATATATATTTTCAATATTATCAATTTTTTCAAATTGTAGTTTATTTTCCTTTATTTTCTTTATAAAAACGTTATTTTGTATATGCAGACTAATTTCCGCTTTTTCATTTATTGATTTTTTTTCTATCTTGTTACTTTTTCTTTTTTTTTCATTTGTTTCATATTCATCTTTATTAGTAGTATCATCATTTAGTTTTCTTTTATTTCGTCTTTCTGTTTTGTCCATATTTTATTTTTTTTTTTTTAATTTACTTTTAAAAGTTTTATAGAATAAAAAAGAAATGAAAAAAAGTAATATTTTTTTTTATTTTTTTATAAATATTTTTTCTTTATCTAAATTAAAAAGAATCACGACATAAAAAGGATGAATTTTTAGTTAAATTTGTATATATTACATTTTTTTTTTTTTTTTTTATTCCTTTTTAAATTAGATAAGAAACTTATAAAAAAGGTATATTAAATCAGTATACTCTTTCCTTTTTTTATATAATGTATTTTTCATTTCTTTAAATAATTATCAAATTTATTAAGAAATTTTAAAAAGAAGAATACTTTTTTTCTACACACAAATTATAAAACAATTCTTTTTTTTTTTTTTTTTTTTTTATCTATATTTATGTATGCTCACAAACAATAAAAATAATGTTTATGGTTTTATATTTTATTATAATATTGTCTCCACAAAAAATGCATTTTTTTTTTTTTTTTTTTATTTTTCACTTTCCTATCTTAATTTCTTCTTTATTTTTACTTTTTTTATTTTATTTTATTTTATTTTTTTTTTTTATTCTTATTAGTTTTAAATTATTTTATAAAAAAATAAAAAATGTTTTTTGTGTTACTTTTTAATTCATTCTTATATTAGTAAAAAAATAATTTCTTAATTATTTTCATATTTGCTGTTATGTCATTTTGAGTAAAAGGCGCGAATAGATTGAAAAATAAATTCATTTGAGCAATATTTAAACTTTTATTTCATAATTTTTTTTTTTTTTTTTTTTTTTTTCATACAAGAATGATTAAAATCATTAAATAACACAAATATTTGAAGGAATTTCTTCGAAAAACTAGCATATTTTTATGAAATTTCATTTTAAAATAAACATTGATAATATAAAGGTTATTTAATAATTCAAATATATATAATGAAATATTTAATAAATATTAATATACGAAAAAAGAATGATTTTTAAAAGATGTTTTCATAAATACCCAGGTGGAAGCAAAATAAAATGTTACATAGAAAAAAAAAAAAAAAAAAGATTAGGCGTTAGTTTATTTCATCAACCTTTATATTCTAAAAATTCTAAAAATTATATTGATTGGAGATATTGTACACCTAAATCTGGGTAATTTTAAATCTATATTTATACATTGTATGTGTGTGTGTTGTTTTATTATAAAATTAGCATAAAATATTTTTATTATATTTGTGTGCATATATATATATATAATTTTTTTTTTTTTTTTTTAGATATGAGTACATGTATATATATGGTGAAAATACAATAGAAATAACAAATTTACCTAATAATAAAACAAATGAATATATTCAAGAAAGATTAAGAAAAAGTTTAAATAAATATGGGAGATTAAAAATTATTAGATGTTTAAGTAATAAAAATGATCCATATATAAATAATAATATATGTTATGCTACTTTTTTAAATAAAAGGGATATGTATAAATGTATACGAAATGTTAATATAAGGTTTCCATTATCTTTGCAGTATAAAATATTAAAATTTAAAAGTTTATATACAAATAAAAAGAATGATTATAATTATTTTTTTAAACAAGAACATTATAATTATAGTTCTATAAATATTGCTTTAAATTTATTCAAGTATTTACAATTTAATAATTGTATGATAAATATAAAAAATATTTATAAACATATATATGAATATTCTTTTTATCCATATAAAATTATTACATCGGGAATATCAATTTATAAAGTATTTAATAATTGGATAAATTTTATTAATTTTTTTGACAATTTATTTATGAAAATAAATAAAAATAATGAAATCTTTATATGTTCAAAAATTATTGATGATCAAAATTTACGTATTTATCTAAATAATAAATTAATAGAATTAAAAAAAAAAACAAATATATCTAATTCTGTATACTGGAGAAACGATTCTCTACAATTACCTGAGTATAATTTTTAAAAAATATAAAATTATATATAATTAGAATATGCTTTTAAAAAAAAATATCTTTTATAATAAGTCAATAATGATAACAAATATATATAATATCAAACATATTGTTACATAAAAAAAAAAAAAAATAAAATTCAATAATATATTTAAAATTACAAAATATATTTTAAAAAGGTTGTAAAACAATTTTATTTACTTTTTTTATTTTCATTAGAGAAATAGAAAATAAACTAAATAATGATCATCCAAAAAAATTAAAAGAAGAGTTGCAACTTTTATCAAAAACCAAGGATTTTTACAAGTTCAATAAAAAAAAATAAAAATTATAAATAATTTATATATTATAAATATATATAAATATATATATATATATATGCATTTGTATATAATTTTTTTATTTTTTTATAGAATTCATGATGAGAGACATTTATTTAAATTAAAATTGAACAAAGAAAGAAAAGAAAAGAAGTAATATAAATTAACATGTTTCATTTATAAATTTTTCTTTTCATGATTAACATGTGTTTATGTGGAAAAATAAATATCCATAATATAATAATCTTAAAGATACATTTTTATTAATCATATTTTAAGTTATATTTTCTTAATGTACATTTTATTAGTAATTTAGCAAATTTAGCCTATTTATATATATACATATAACAAAAAAATATCTTTTTTTTTTTAGGTTATTAAAGAAAAAAAATGAAAAGTTAAAAGAATCAAAATAGCTGATTTTTTTTTTTTAAAAAAAAAATATATTTATTTTTATCATATCTTAAAAATTTTATATTTTTAAACCAATAAATTTATCCACAAGTTATTTGCTTTATTTGACTTCAAAATTTGTACAATAAAACTAATCAATATATAATCAGGTGCGTTATTTTATATTTTTTTTATTATTATTACTATTGAAAATTTTTTCATATATATAAAACGTTCAGAAGAAGTGGGTTTTTTTTTTTTTTTTTTTTTTTTTTAATGTATATTTTTTAAAATTTTAAAGATTAAAATATATTTTAATTATTTATTTATATATTTAAAGTTTATATTTTTTTTTAAAGTTATATATAATTGACATTTTTACGAGAATAGCATGCATTATACATGTTAAATATAGGTTCTTTAAAAAAATAAGGGAAAGAATCAAAAATTCTATCTATAAAATTTATATTTTAAAAAAACAAAAAAACAGATATGTTTTTTCTCTATAATAACAATATGATTTTTATTGTTTTTACAATAACATAATTTTTTATAATTTGATTTTTTTGTAAATATAATTATTTTGCATTTCACTATTTACAAATTTTAATTATTAAAGCTTTATATTTTTGAATTGTATTTAAAAATGAAGACAATATTAGTATTATTTTTAATACAGATTTTTTTATGTTTTTATCAGAAAAATGTAGTATCAAAAAACATAAAATTCAATATAGATGGAAATATGTATACTATTTTATATGATAAAAAAAAAGTAAAGTTTTCGGATTTAGACCTTTTAAAAATTATGTTTCATTCTAATCATATAAAACATTGTGGAAATTCAGTAATCCGATATATCCTTAAATTGTCAACAAAAAACCTTTTCCAAATGGACTTTGTAGTTAAACATATAGATATAACATATAATAAGGTATTGAAGTTTGATGATAAATATAAAATAATTGGTGCTATTACTAATTATGGAAATACGTCGTTAAGAGTTTCATTATTCGGTGTAGGAAATGAAAATAAAAAAATTAGTTTAAATTCATTTATTAAAAATAAATTAAGTAATAATTTAGAATTAGAATCACAATCAGATAAAAATGAAGAAAATAGTATTAATGAAGTTTTAGATAATTATGATGAAGATAATGACGATCCAATTAATTTAAGCAGTAAAGAAATAGATCAGTTAAAGGAGGAAAAAAATTGTGCTGTGTATTTTATAGTTCACTATACATTAGTAAAAGTAGATAAAAAAGGAATGAAAAAAAATATTAAAGATCAATTTAAAAATGAAAATTCATTAATTGAAATTGAACAAATAGAAAATTTAGCTAGCGCTTTATGCTAAAAATTAATAAATGTAGATGTTATTTAAAATTGTCTTATATTTCATTGTAAAATTTCATTTTATAGTTAGCTATTTTAATTTAAATCAAACTTCCTGATAAATCATTTGTTATATTTTTTTGTGCTCTTTTCAAATATATAACAAAATGAGAATTTTTTTATTTTCTTTTGATTACTTACTTTTGTATATTTCTTAATTTTTATTAGTTTATACTTTATTATCTTATATATTTTTATGTAAAAATTTTTAAGATTATATAATTATTTTGTATTTAAAATTAAAATTTTTAGAATCTTCAAATTAGTTATAACAATGCCTTAAAAGCATAAAAACTTTTATAACATTAACTTATTTTAAAAATGTCTTATTTATTTATTTTTTTTAAACCTTTAATATTAAAAAAAAAAAAAAAAAAAAAAAAAAAGTATTAAAAAATACTGAAAAGAAAAAAAAGAAAAGTATTTATTTAATATATATGCATTGTTTAAAGACGTGTGTCCATTATTAATTTTTTTTTTTTTTTTTTTTTTTTTTTTTTTT